ATAAAGTTATCTAACTTCCTTGGATCGCAAATTTAGGGGATGATGCTGGCTGCTTGCTGGTTGGGGGCCTCAGTTCTCCTCACATGTGTCTCTCTCTGTGGGCCTCTTCACGTGGCCTCTCAGCATAAGCTTAGCTTTTTCTCACAGCATATCAACTCATTCCCCCACAATGGCCTCCCCCAAAGAGAAAGCTACATGATAGATGTATCCTTTTCTGTAATCTGCCCCAGAAGTCACATAGTATTGTTGGTGAAATCCCAACCCCCTCACTACCCACCCCCCTGGTTCAAGTTGAAGGTAAATAGAGTCCACCCCTTGATGGGTATTGGTGAGATTCTGGAAGATCATGTGAGATTGGAAATATGGTTGTGGCCATATTTTGGGAAATCTGAATATTCCATAGTCAGAGATCACAGGGACCTACCAGCCTTTCTCTGTTCTGACCTCTTATAATCTTTGCTCTCATTTATAACCAGTATATTCCTTTGGATTGTTAACTTTCTACATGCATCTGTTTTATCTCCCCTGTTGTATTGTGCATTATTCAGTGCAAGGACCTTTCCTGTATTTATATTTCCCACAGGGCCTAGAATAGGGTTTTAGACATAGTGCTCAGTAAACATCTGTATTAAAGTCATATCAACTTAGAATGAAGTGAAAGACTTAGCAATGGAGATGACTACAGCGGATAGTCATGAATGATGCAGCTTTGAGGTAGGGAGAATATGATTCCTATGTACATGTGACCCATTAGAAATAAATGAGCAAGAATCACATTTCAGGTCAATAAATGTGTGTAGGGAGAATGAAGCATGAAAGCTTAAATGTCAGTAAGGCATGATGGTAGTCAATGAGAGGTACTCTTTTTGCCTCTAAATATTTAATTAAAAGTTTTTATTTAATCCAAATTATAGTCATTGAAAGTATTAAATTTAATTCTACTGGCATTTAACTCAGAGTCAATAAGACCAATTATGGAATAAGAGTAAATAGTATAAAATTTTACATTTTTAAAAGTGTGGTTATATTAAAAAATATAATACTTTGATTGTTTTACTTTTATTTCACTTTTAAATGAAAAACAATACATGCTCATTGCAACAAACCAATATATGTAGAGTAAATACAAACCTTCCTTCATCCATTCCTAAATTAAAGATATAAATTTCGGTTTGGTATATATGTTTTCAAAGCTTTATCCATGCTGATTTTATATAATTTTCATTGTTTACTCATTGTTCTTCATATTTATTGTTCTTGCCATAATTTATTCATAAATGTGTGAAGCTCAGGATTATGTCAGTGGTAATTTATCAATGTGATGGTAACAGGATTTGATCACCAATAATTGCTCTAGGCAGCTAAATTATAATCTTTGTGGAAACTAGTAAATTGATATTTTAATTCAAGGTTGATTATTTTTATGAGTCATAGAAAATATAGAAAAATTAAATCTTGCAGGATAAATTCAATTTTCCTGTTGTATACTACATTGTATTTTTTTGTTTTCATTCTGAGAACACATAGTAATCTGAAGACATTACAGCATAAAGCAGTATGACTGTTACTAATATATGTATGCAATATACTAATATCTCATCCTTGTTAAATTAACCTAACAGATGTATAATTTTCACTGTACTAAGCATTATAAATTTCATATACTGAAAATTATTTGGACATAAAGTTTTCATGTGGAAGGTAAATGCATAGCATATTGTCTTTCAAACTCTCCCCAATTTCAGGGGAATTAGGGTCTTGGTCTATGAAATGAAAGAAAGAATAAAATCAATAAATGAAAATAGTTGAGTTTAAGATTCATGACCATTTGTACTAACTTTTTTTTTTTTTTTTTTTGTTAATCCTCACCCAAGGATATTTTTCCATTGTATTTTTTTTAGAGAGAGAGGAATGAAGAGGGAAAGACAGAGAGAGAGGGGGAGAGAAGAGAGAGAGAGAGAGAGAGAGAGAGAGAGAGAGAGAGAGAGAGAGAGAGAGAGAGAGAGAGAGAGAGAAGAAGAGAGAAGAAGAGAAGAAGAAGAAGAAGAGAAGAAGAGAAGAGAGAAGAGAGAAGAGAGAAGAGAGAAGAGAGAAGAGAGAAGAGAGAGAAGAGAGAAGAGAGAAGAGAGAAGAGAGAAGAGAGAAGAGAGAAGAGAGAAGAGAGAAGAGAGAAGAGAGAAGAGAGAAGAGAGAAGAGAGAGAAATATCAATATGAGATAGACCGGTAGATTAGTTGCCTCAAGCACTCGGCCCAACCGAAGTATGAGCCCTTGACCAGAATTGAACCCAAGACCGTTCAATTTGAGGTCTGATGCTCTATCCATAAGCCAAACTGACTAAGGCTATAATAACTTTATGAATTAAGTTAAACCTAGATCTAGATTTTCTGTATTTATGGCATTGAAAACAACATATTTTTAGTTATATTGGTATAATTTTGTTATTTCAAACATTGATTTATAGAATATACATTAATTGCATGCAATTATAATCTCCCTGAGAAACTAAAAGCATGCTTCATAGAATATTGAGGGATATATTGACATATAACTATTATCTATTTAAGATGGCTGATCACACTGAAGTGATGAAAGGCATTCGTCAATATCCAGGAGTTAGATATCCTGTCCTTACTCCTAATCTTCAGGGTTTTCATCGTGCTGTAAGTATGCTACTAATTTTTCGAAAATCAGTATGTGTCTTACTATTATAAAGGTCTTTACAAAGTTAAAATGGAATCAGTTGTGCCTCACTTATTATCCTCTATAAATACTATGCTAATATATCTACATTAATACCTGGAGATTAATAACCTCATGGAGCAATTAGGGATTAGAGTGATCTGGATAAATGATTCTTCCAAATTAACCATTCAAAGGAATCAAAACACAGAAATACAATTATTCATTTTGATGAATTTTTTGGATATTATATTTTGTGCATTCCCTTTCAATGAGACTGTGGAATATAACCTAACCATTTCTCGGCACAGTATCGTCATTGTTAATATTGTAGTGGATGGTTACTCTTGTCCACTTTTGGGGTCAGCTTTCTGCTGCTGCTCTCTCCTCTGGCTGAGGCCAGTCGCTGTCATTGGAACTGCCTGTCACAGTTTTCCTGTTCCTCTCTGGCTTCTTGCCTCCTAGTCTTCTGGACTTGGGGATGTATATGCAAAAGCTTTAACAATTACACAAAAAAGAATTAGTGGAATTTTAAAGAAAGGCTTGAGGTGTTATGCTTCCATGGCATTAGTGTAAAAGTGTCACAGCAGCTGCTTCTGAAGTTAATGGCTATTTTTCACTTTTGAATTTCGGACTCTATCACACAAAGTTGAGGTGGTAGGTACTAGTGTGTCTTGTTAAAACCACTTTAGTTGGATTTGATATAATTATTTGTCACCTTGTAAAGAAAAAAGAGGCATTTTTAAAAAAGTATAAACATTGCTGTCTAAACAAAGCAGGTACTGTATCTACCTTGAAAAGATACTGAAAGACACCCTTTGATAGCTTGGGTAAGTAAGTAGAGGAGAGAGACAAATGTTGGCTTGGAAATCAGACAAGCCTGTGCTCAGAACAGGGCTCCAGAGCGTTGATAACTTTGTGACCTCAGGCTAGTGATTTAGCCTCTTATCTCCAGTTTTCTCAACTGTAAGACTTTATAATACAATTCACAGTAAACAAGATTGTTGGTTAGAAATAGAGCATGCAAAGTACTAACAGCCATACTGGCACACAGTAGGTGTTCAATTAATTTTAGAGCTTAAACATTTATTGGGAGGAAAGAGTGGAATATTTAAATTGCAGGAAAGATGACAGAATTTATTGTTCTTAAGGTATTAATAGGGTATCAGAAAGAGAGGGAAATTTAGGCACAATGCTAGAGATACATTCATAGAAAGTCTTAAATTTTAGCTGGAAAATCAGAAAACTGGACATTTGAAAATAAGTCACTAGAGAAGTCTTGGGGAAGGAGTGAAGATGGCAAAAGGGACAAAAAGAAAATTGATTGGGTTAACTGGTTGGATTTAGACTGGCAAGAGGGTTAGGCATTAGACACAGAAGAATATGGGTGTAGCAGTCAGGGGTGAACCACTGGATGCTAAGTAAAGAGGTGGGAAGAGTCAGGCCAGTGGGGCTCAGTGGTTGAGCATCAACCCATGAAACAGGAGGTCACAGTTTGATTCCCAGTCAGGGCACATGTCTCGGTTGTGGGTTGATTCCCAGTGGGAGGTGTGCAAGAGGCAGTCAACCAATGATTCTCTCTCATCATCATTGATGTTTCTGTCTGTCTCTCTTTCTCTTTAAAATCAATAAAAATAGATCAGACCATCAAACCTCAGAGGGAAGGCAGGGAAGGGTGTGGATAAGAGGGAGAGATCAACCAAAGGACTTGTATGCATGCATTTAAGCATAACTAATGGACACAGACACCAGGGGGGTGAGGGCATGAGCAGGGGATGGTTATGAGGGAGGAATTGGGTGGTGGTGGGGAAACACATATTTAATAATAAAGAAAATATAAAAAAATATATATCTATAATGTTTAATAGGTGGGAAGATTTGGGACATTATCTAAATGATGAACTGGAGAAATGTTTTTCTGTTAGACTGAAAGAAAAGGAGAAAAGCAAAGCACTTACTGTATTCTACTTTAATAGTTAGTCTAAAAAATAGGTTTTCTATTGATATTAAGAGGTTTTATTGAGTGCTAGTATTTTCCATAATTAAGGTGAAATATTTCTGAGGATAACGTCATTTAGGAAAGGCAATATTATATTGGAACATCATTACTGTGTTTTCTGTGTCTCGTGTATTTATGAGTGTTGTGGTTTCTGGAATTATTCTGTTATTATAAAATATTTTTACATTTCAAAAGAGAGTATGTGGCAGTATGAGAGGAATGTAATTTTCAATTCTAAGGCAGATGTTAAAGAATACAAGTATGCTTTTATAGAGCAGTTTTAAAATTATTAGCTTTTGCCTTTAAATTATATTTTTCAGGTTGCTGCTGGGGCCACAGAGATATCCGTTTTTGGTGCTGCATCTGAATCCTTTAGCAAGAAGAATATTAACTGTTCTATTGAAGAAAGTATGGAGAAGTTTGAGGAGGTTGTTAAGTCTGCAAGGCATCTGAATATTCCAGCACGAGGGTATGAAATCCCACAAATTCTATTTAATTAACATCAGTTGTTCAAGACTATTTATGAACTATTTAAGCATTATTTTATCAATCATAAAGGTGTACCTGGGCTATCTTATTTGTGCTTTATGTGATCAGGCTCATGGCTATAGAGTAGCACATCTCATTAATATCAGTTAATGATTACTGTGGACCTATGTCCTGCAATGTGTAATGCAGTTGGGACCCAAGGGATAAGCAAGCAGACCTGATGTTGTTACTCATTAACACTAAAACATCTAAATGCAGCCATTTTTTATCTCAGCCCAGTGTGATTGATAAATTGGTGTAAACTCATAGCAGCATTTAGAAAGGAATCATCTAATGTGTTTTCCAAATACTTAAAAATTTTTTTAACATCCTTCAAAGAATATTTTATTTAGAAGTTCAATAGAGTATGTAAAATAAATGTGAGTCTTTGAGCTACACTGGGAAGTTGGGCCCAGCATTTCACCCAGTCAGGCTCCCTCTTTGCAGCTGACTTTCCTGCTTTTCCTGGGTGACCCCAAAACTAGGTATACAGGAAAGGAAAAGAGAGAAAATCTCTCTCTTGTCTGTTTCCAGGACCAGTAGTTTCTGCATCTATTGCAAACAGGGTCTACATCCAGGCCTGTGTCTATGAAATGTGTAACAATCCCTTTGTTACTTAAAAGAAGTTGTTGGCCTGGCTGGTGTTGCTCAGTGGTTGAGCATCAACCTGAGAAACAGGACGTTTTGGTTCCATTCCCAGTCAGGGCACTTACCTGAGTTGTGGGCTCGATCCCCAGTTCATCCCAAGATGAGGCAGCCAATCAATGATTCTCATAATTAATGTTTCTATTTCTCTCTCCCTCTCTCTTCCTCTCTGAAACAAATAAAAATATTCTTAAAAAGAAGTTATTTCTAAAACATTAACTACATAATTTTCTTTTGAGTTTTATTATTATGGATATGTTCTAAACAGACCATACCATCTTAATAAATTCAAATGCAAAGCATTTGTAAAAGAAGGCTGAGTTCTGCAATTGAATTTAGATGCAGGTTGTGCTTCCTTCTGTTGAGGTGACCAAAGTTCCTGGTGGCAGGAAATCTTCCGCAATTAATGCGAAAGACAAGCAAATGCAATTTTGAGTGACAATATTGAAAAGTATTAGAATTCAATTAAAGTCACTGGAAGGGCAAGTGGAATTAGACTGAACCATAGTGAACTATCTTGTTGGTTTACATACTTTTGTTTAATATTTTTATTCCTATATAGTATGTTTGCAACATGAGTTTTTTAAAGATACAAAATTATTTTTTTTTATTTTTTTATTGTTTGAAGCATTACAAATACTAGTACATATGTCTCCTTTTTTTTTTTTTTTTACAAAATTATCTTTGTAAATAAATATACCCATAACATGCAAACACATAGAAGAAAAAACTTTTTAAATGACATAATGTATTTCCAAAGACAGAAAATAAAGGATGTCTGTTATCAGTGCAAAATTATAAAACCACAATAAAAAAAGAAAGGCTGAACTGTAAGATTCTAAATTAAAACATAAGTTGTTTTGTCTCCTTTAGATGAAAGAGGAAAAAATAAAGGAGCTATTATATTTCCATGTGCATTTAAATGTGGCATGTAGGTTTTAGAGTAAAGTTATTCTCACTGGAAAGTTTAAAAACCACATAAATCTGAGAAGTAAAGTGCATGTGCAGCTTACACATCAACTACGAAATTCTCTTAATGTTGAATGATGGATGTAAACATAAACTATATGATATCAGATTTTACCATCTTAGTTTTCCACTTATAAAACAGAGTAGGTACTGTGATAAAATTAACAGAAACCCTAAATCCTTTTTAATACTAGTTGTTGAATAATTATTATTAATATCGTCCCAGCAATAGAGAAACTTCTAACCATATTACAATGTAAAAAGCTTCCCAGGCTTTGACAGGAAGGGCACAGAAATACAAGATGGAGAGGTAGCACATTGTCAAATGAGTTAGAAAGCACATTGGAGACTTAGGGTAGAGTTATACTATAGGCAAATGTATGCTGCTCAATGGCAGATCTAGATATTCTGGGACAGATTTCCTGAAATACTCTTCACTTTTAGAAATTTGCCTTTCAGTATGTGAGTTCACTATTTATTTGTACAATTGAAAAATATCTTCTTTCTGACCCAAACTTTTAAAGAGCATAAATTAGATTTTGTTTTAACTGGAGATCTGGGCTTTAGGTGCTCATTATTAAAAATCATAGGCCACTGGTACTCATTTAAAGAAAAGAGCCATACACACTCAACTACTTGAAGATGAAGTAGATGCTTCAGCCTGTCTTTCTATGGCAACAGCTGCATCAACATGTTCTTGACCATCATCCAGAAAATTTATGTTGTCAGCTGTTAGATTTAAAGGCCATAAGGCACTATGCATTTTATAAATGCTCACCATTTAAATTTTTATAAAAACAGTAAACTTTCCTTTGGTCAAAATAGCAGTTTTTATTAAAGTATGAAGGCCAATGTTTGATTTCCTCCCTCCTGAAACACACTTATGCACAACCATGTGTACACATTTTTAATAGATGCTCAGAACCTTAGATAACATCTGGGACACATTGGGAAGAGACAGCATGCCAAGTCATTGACATAAAATGCCAAGTCAGCTAACTACTGCTGTATATACATTATATGTGAATGAGCAGTGGAATGTTTACATTTCGGACTTCATTTTTTAATGTGTAATTTACATGACATGTTTAAAAAATCTTGGTCATATTTTTATTATGTCTAAATTTTTAAAAAGTTAAAAAGACAAGAAAACTAAGTGCTTTGTAAATGTAATCATTTTCTCTCTTTGTATTAATGTCATTTATTGAAAGGATCATCTCTCAGTTGGTCAAGATCCTTTTAAAATTGAAACGCTTCAAAATAACCACATAGTAGCTCTACTGTAAAATGGAAGACATTCTGGTCTTATTCCTTTTTGTTTAAAGTAAGCGTCAACTCTTTAACGAATCACATGCACTAAGTGTTTGTGACAAGAATCATATGTGCAGGCTCTTTGGAGAATATTGATTTAAAAAGGAAACTATCATTGAGGTGCCCTTAGTCATTTTGCTGTTAAAGTGCTTATAAATGCATATTAAAAATTACAATTCACAGGTCAGCATATCAAAACACAACCTTTTTACATAATGGTTTTAAGCCTCTTCTTTTGGCATGGAATGACTTGATTCATGATTAACCTCCTGAAAGCCTGAGCCTACTGGAAGCTAAAAACAAAACAAAACTGTACTTTAAAAATGGTTGTAAGATCCGAACAAAATTATTCACCTATTCTTTATGAAAAATTAAAAATGCAGAAGTATTTGAATGTGAACTGTAACTGCAGTATTTCTTCTAAAGTCCTTAGAAAAAAATAAGATACAGAATAATAAGAATAGGAAGTAAAAGGTAAATTAATAATTAAACTAATAATGACAATCACAGGTAACTTTTAGATGCAGAAAAACAAAGACAGTAGTAGGATGTGATAATGTTTTACTTTACTCATAATTTTTAATGAGGTAAATTTATTGGTCTATAACAAGTTTCAGTTGTACATTATAATTCAATATCTGTATTTAGTCCTTACCACCAAAAGTCTCCTTTTCATTCTTCATCATATACTTGACCACCTTTATCCATTTTGCTTTTCCCTTAACTCCTTCCTCTCTGGTAACCATCAATCCATTGTCTGTATCTGTGAGCTTGTTTTTGTTTTGTTTTGGTTAGTTCATTGCTTTCTTTCCTTTTTTAAAAAAAATATTCCACATATGAGTGAAATCATATAATTTTGTTTATAATTTTGATGTATTTTATTTAGCATAATACCCTTAAGGTCCATCTATGAAGTCGCAAATAGCAATATTTCATTTTATTTATGGCCAAGTAGTATTTCATTATGTGTATACCACCTCTTTCTTTCTATCTCTCTCACACACACCATATATGTACCATATCTTCTTCACCCATTCATTAACTGTTGAATACTTAGTTTGCTTCCATATCTTAGCTATTATAATGAACACACCCATTCATTAACTGTTGAATACTTAGTTTGCTTCCATATCTTAGCTATTATAATGAACATTAGTTTGCTTCCATATCTTAGCTATTATAATGAACATTTAAATTAGGGTTTTCATACAAATACCCAGAAGTGGAATAGCAGAATTATATGATAGTTTTATTTTTAATTTTTTGAGAAACTGTTTTCCATATTGGCTGTACCAATTCACATTCCCACCCAACCATGCCTGAGGTCCCTTTTCTCTACAACCTGCCCAGTGCTTGCTATTCTTGCTAATAACCATCTTAAAAAGTGTGAGGTGATATTTCATTGTGGTTTTGATTTGTATTATCCTAATAACTAATGATATTAAAAAGCACTTTATGTGCCTGTTGGCCAACTGTATACCTTCCTTGGAAAAATGTCTATTCAAATTTCCTGCCCATGTTTTTATCAGGTGATGGTGGTGGTTTTTCATTGAAACATTGTATAAGTTCTTTGCATATTTTGGCTCTTAACCGCTCATTGAAAATATCACTTTAAATATGTTCTCCCATTCAATTGGTTGCCTTTTCATTTTGTTGATGGTTTCTTTTGCTGTGCAGGGGCTTTTTAATTTGATGTAGTCCCATGTGTTTGTTTTTGTTTCCCTCCTGTTGGAATCAAATCCACAAAAAACACTGCTAAAACCAATGTCCAGGAGCTTGGTGCCTATGTTTTCTTCTATATAATTTATGATTTGAGGGCTTAAATTTAAGTCTTTAATCTATTTTACTGGCTTTTCCTTTGAGAGATAGAGATATTTTGTAACTCAATGCATTTATTAAAGAACTTGCAACCTGCTTATTTGCTAGTCAAACCGTTAGGCCATGGTGTACATATTGCATTTCCTATCTTTCCTTGTCTAATGCAAAATGTCATTTTGGATTTGAATCCAGACCCTA